CCATATCTCAAAGGGGGAAACCCTGGACCACCCTCCTAGGGAAGGGAAGGTCCGGTATCGCTTCTCGGCCTTTTGGCTGCGATCCTGTTGTGGGATTGTTTCGGGCATTTTTACTTGTGCCATCCCATATATGTAAAAATGGAAAATGACAAAGATTGTGGTACGGTGAGTTGTGAGGTTTTGAATATGGAAATATCCGATAGTGTTATTGTTAATGCTAATATCCCAAGTGTACGTTCTGTTGATGCTGTCTCTGGAGAGAATACTGTTGGTGCTGTCCCTGGAGAGAATGCTGTTGTTCCTGGTGAAAATGTGGTCCCTGGTGGAAATGTTGTTGACGTCTCTTCTGACGCTTTATCTGCTAATGCGAATGTTGAAGTAACGACCGTTCCTTGTGCTAATTCCGTACCTCAGCCTGATAATTTAGATGCTGGGGCTCGCAATTGTGCCGTTGTAAATGGAGAAACTTACGCTTCTAGAGCGGCGAGGACGACTGGTTCTGCTGACAACGCCCCTCAGCCATGGCGTCGTTCTGTTGTTAATGACATGCCGAAACGCCCTCGATCCGCTCTGTTCACACCTTCACGTTTTACATCTGCTCGTTCAGTTTTCGATGCCCTTAACTCCGCAAACGTTGACGCCGCTGAAATTCAGTGCTTACAGCGAAAAATGAACGGTGAAGTGGTGGTCACTTTCAAATCTCCTGCCGCCAAAGAAAAATTCCTAAGCCTGAACTCCATCACTATCAATAATGAAAGTTATGCCATCCAAGACATCGACAGGCCTCTTACATTCTTGACTATTTATGACGCTCCTTTTGAACTGAGTGATTGGGCTATAATAAAGCGCCTCGCTCCTTTCTGCGAGGTTATTCATTATCGCCGTGGTAAATTTGATTACGCACCTAATATCTACAATGGTTTACGTCATTATCGCGTCCGGATTGTCAAGCCCGTCCCTAACTTTCTCCGTTTTGGTAAATATCAAGTCTTTGTAAAGTATGCTGGTCAGCCGCTTACCTGCCGTAAGTGTAATTTGCCTGGCCATTTTAGTAATGCTTGCGACCACAAGGTGTGTTTCAACTGTGAGAACATTGGTCACGAAGCGAACCGTTGTCCAGCCCCGCCTCTATGTCACTTCTGCAAAGAGGATGGCCATCTTAGTAGCCATTGTAGGTACTCGTGGGTCTCTCCTGTTGTCTACGGTGAGCCCACCGATGAATCTGCTCCAGTGAACGTTGATGTCGACGATGACGATGACGCCTCTGATGTTAGCGACGCCTCTTATAAGACCCACTCTGGCGATTCTTTTGCATGGGCGGACGAGTCCGATTTGTCCGACGCCTATGTCGATGTTGTAGAAGACCTCCCTTTGGCCGCAGCTCTGCCTTCTAAGACCCATCCACCTCCTGCTGATGCCGCTGAACCATCTGTTACCGCTACCGCTACTCCATCTGCTGGTCCATCGACTTCTGTGCCTTCATCTGCCGCTGAAACCCCTGTTCTGTTTACACCATCCGAATCACTGCCAAATGCTCAACCTGTCAACGTTCAACCTGCTAACTCTTCACCTGATGCTAATCCTCCATCTGGTCAATCACAACATGTTCTAGATTCTCAGGGTCTCATCAAACCTGATGTCATCGTCATCGATGCTCCGTCAAATCCTCCTCCCGCCAATTCTTCCACTAGTTCTGCCCGTCCTCGAATCTCTCGCCGTACTCCCGCTCCAGTCCCTGAAGCTCTGGCAGCGGCTGCTCTTCGCAAACCTACCTCTCCTTCCCTAGTTGCTGGCAAACCACGTTCTTCTGCTCCCCCTTCGTCGCCGATGGAGGCGTCCTCTGACTTAAAACGCAAGGCCCAGACCCAGACTGATGCTGTCCCTAAGGAGAAACGTAAACAAAAGAAAGGCAGGAAACATAAAGAGTAATTTTGTTATGTTCCTCTTTTAAGTCCTTTTTCTGAGATACTTTCAAAGTCCTAACTATTAATGCGAGGGGTTTGGGGAATCCCCTTAATAATAATCTCCTCTTCGATCTTATTGAAAAATCCGACTGCGACATTTGTTTTCTTCAAGAAACGCTAGTCAGCTCTGAGGCAAACATCAGGGCTCTTTCCCGTAGATGGTTGGGGCGTAGTTTTTGGTCCCCCGCAATTGGAAAACAAGGCGGTGTGGCCATTTTAATTTCTCCTAAATGCTCCGATGAAATTGTATCTTGGAAAAAGGACTCTAATGGGCGATTAATTAGTCTTTTGGTCAGGATTGATGGTGTCGATATTAATTTTGTTAATATTTATGCTCCCACCAATCTTACTGATCGAAAATCTTTTTATGAATCTCTTCATGAATTTTTTATTCCCGCCTCTGCTCTTGTGATCGGGGGCGATTTTAATTGTTATGACAACGCGCTCGATAAATTCGGAGGTAATGTTTCTGTCGGCAACGAATGTAGCTCTTTGAAATCTGATTTTATTTTGGTTGATGCGTGGCGTA